GTATACCATTAATTTTGATAAGTTAAGATCACGCTGGATAGAGAAGATAGCGTAGAATCTGGAATGCTCGTGTTCACGCAATTTACGTTCGTTTGAGTCGTCTGGGTATTATAACAAATCATCGATTGTTCAAAATGTTGGTTAGCAGTCTACGTTTAATATACAGCAAAATTGGTTAAATATATTTCTCTAAGTAAAATTCATAAAAATGAATACAACTAAATGTTTCAGTAAAAAAAATCCATGTTTTCCATGGAAATCACAAGAAAATATTCCAAAAATGATTAAGCATAAAGAACGATTAATTTATGCGCCTTTAAATTTGGTAAACGAACTGAAATATTATGCTAGAAATATTAACGCAATATTCTAGAAATGTAAATTCATATCGAAGAGATTTCACTAATTTATACGAGTCCCTTATCAATTCACACATAGCACTACAATATTCCATACAATTCTCTATGGTCAGGCTCGATTGTCCTCGACGAACCAACGTCGACTTTGTAAAACAGAATAAACAAACTCCCTTATTCGCTTCGCAAATATACACAACGTGCAAATTAGTATCTCTTTAGGGGACGAGTATATTTGGTTTCGAGCCACGGGAGAGGGTCGTTTACGAAATTACTTATTTCTTGCCGCCAACAAGACTGCTCTCCTTCTCGCGAATTCGGCGGATATTCCGAAGCGACGTTAACCGTAAGAAACTAACAAACCGAAGCTCCCGAGAGCTCGATCCTCGAAATGCCTTATAAGACAGGGGTGGTTTCTTTGCTCGCGTGTACGCGTACTACTAATTTTCCCCGAGCCGTCTGGGTGAAGAGCCCAGCGCGTCGTCTTCCACCATAACCGTATATTCCAAGAGCTTGTTTCTTTTTTCTTTCGTACCGTGGCGCCAGTTAAAGGAAATGAAATTCTGGGACGTGTATATAAATTGGACCAACAAGGAACGTCATCTTATAAGAGAGCATATGAAAGTGCCAATCATCGATTTTTATGCAACTGTGTTAGAGAGTAGTTCTCATAAATATGTTTCACACGTATGTTTTTTTAACCGCCATGATTCATGTTCTAGGGGTGAAAACAGTCCATAAAACTAGGGGTTGTGAAATATGTTTGGTCGAATATAACGGAAACTATAAAGATAGTAAAACCGGTTTAAATGGTGATATTGTGTGTTTTGCCAGTTAAAACGTTTTTCTACCTCTAATAGCTTCCGAGATATTCGACCAAATCGATTTCACACCCCCCGCTCCGAGTGTTGTTTTCACTCTTCCAACAGGGATGATGGCAGCTGAAAAAAATACTTATCAAATATCTTTATGAGAACTACTTCCTAACAGAGTTGCATAAAAATCGGTGATTTTCATTTTGGTATGTTTCCTTGTTAGTGTAACACTACAATTTTTATGCCATTTGGCGTACAGGGACATGGTGCATTGAAAAATATTTGACCCGTATTTTTTTCAGGTATTGACATTCGTATCTAGGGAATAAAAACAGCACTCAATGTCGGGAGTGAAAAATATATTTACGGCGATATTTCGCAAACTATTGGATTTGGGAAAAATATTTGTCAACGAAAACCGTGTGTTCTTTAATGGCCAAAATATACCACTCGTGCAATGTTTCGAAATACCGATTTATTCCAACAAAATATATTAGAAATGAGAACTATATGTATATTTTTGTTACATTCTTGCGTAAATTTGTTAATAGAAACTATCGATTAATATAAAAAATACGAGTTCCTTGAAATGTTTAGTCTGACGTTTATAATGAGAATTCGGATTTCTACTGACTGTGCGAAGACGTTCGTCGACTCTGCTTTTTGATGTACATACACTGCGAATAAACAATGTCAGTCCGTAATGTACAGGTTTGTGCGCGTTCTCAAAGCACGCTGTACGTTCATCAGTACCGTAGGATCCTATATCCCCTTAAGTGAGCTATGTACATTATGCTTTGCTTCATACGTTAAGTAGATTGAGTGCGTTGGTTTATGTTAAACTAGTTACGTATGTGTTACATGGAATCATCCTGTGTTACGAGTCGTTTAAATCGTTGTTTGGAATTTATTAGATATAGAGACCGTGCTTGAATTGCGTTTCTCTTGGATAAGTCTGTTTAGTTGGGGCGGTTCTGATATTGTGCAAACAGTCTACCTTCAATATCTCCACCAATTTGTTGTAGATGTAACTTAATAATGAATATAGTTAACAAATACAGACTATCTTAGTCAGAGAGTGCCTACTGGTAGATCAGTTAAAATAATGAAAAACGTGATAAACGAACTACGAGGCGCTTTAATCTCTACAACTTCCAATATAATATACCATCCATCTTCTTTTTCACGGAATATGTTCAAGGGAAAACTTACTAATGCAACGGCAAGGGATTCAATTATATTTCTAACCTTCCTAGACTCGCATGTTGGTCCCACAGACCAACAATATTGAAATTCGCTTATTTTTTTTAGAAACAATTAACGCGCTCATCATGTTGTTCCTTGACTGTTAGAGAAATAAACAATTTTTGAAATTTTTTGTGTAATTTTCTATTCGATAATAATTCTAAATAAGTATAAAAAGTGAATTATATAAAATTATACGGCATAAATACAACATTTCTATCATTTAAAAATCGTTGAGAGAAACCAACGTGAGTCACTATGCACTGAAAAATCAAGTGAGTCCAGGATGGTTAACTATAATATGGTGGATGCACCAATAAAGGAGACTCGTACTAGTCAATGAACATTATATATAAAAGCAACTAGATTAAGTTATTAAAATAAACAAATGATTAAATATTAATTTTTTTCAATTCGTTGTTTCATATTTAAGTAATTTCCGCGCCATTGGATAGAAATGTTGATGATTTCTTTTTAATGTAATTAATTTTCCAGTTTTCCAAAATAATCTATACGTTATAAAAGGAATAGATATTGAAAAATCTAATTTTTATCTGTCGAATATTCATCAATATTATTATAATTTCAAGTTCAACTATAATAGTTACAAAATCTTTCAAATGTTCATTCATTGATGCGCTTATCTGAGACCAATTATTTTAGTAGCTATATGTATACTAAATTCTGCTCCGCAAAAAATCAGTTTTTTCCGATATAGTTCAATATATTATATCGTGCCGAACTTGCGCACGACGGACAAATATGTTCCGTGAAAACTCGCGACGCGCACATACGAATGCGCGTGTAGAAAGGCCGAGCCTTCAGAAAATACGAACCGGGTCGCGGAGTTAGTTAAACAAAATTTCGCCGGTGCATACGCGATCTGATTGCGAGCAGCATTTTCATTTTACGGATATACGTATTTAGCCGTATCGGATAATGAGATCCCGTGTTGTCATCCCCCCGGGGATTATAGGTAATGCATTGCCAGCAGCTACGTTCGTGTGCCTCCGACAAAGAATTAGTCAACAATCTTTTTTTCTCCTGGCGGTTTCTAATTTAATTTAAATCTTGGATGCGATGATTCATGAATTACGAACAAACAAAAAATAGCAGAAAATAAAACCGTGGGTGTGCGTGTGTGTCACGAAACGACAAGATGGAAATCCTCTCTGCGGATAATCATTCAGATGGAATCGGACTTCTAAAAATTATGAGAAACAAATCCCCGTGCCGTTCGTGAAAGAAGACACCCAGTACTAATACACACAGAACCATAGAATGGTGCGCCCGGAAAGATATTTCAAGAGGAAAAGTTCTCTTCTTTGCTTAACCTCCTTAACTTTTATAGAGCGGCTCCTCAAACTTTCATACTGCGATAACTTCCACGTTCTCCTCGTATATCGTGCAATTACTTCCACCGTGTCTATGTATATAACGTGCATGAAAAAGCCAGTACTCCGATGTTATCAGTGAAAATTGATTTGGATGGTACGAGAAACCTGTTCGGGGGGACTTGCAGGAGAAAAAAAGTTATTTTGCTCGAGTAGGAAAATATTGTGATTGATAGAATCGGTCTTTGAAATTTGTTTTGCTATCGACGTTGTTGAGGCTCCTATAAAATGTTCGAATTGTACTTGATTTTTATGGATACTCTGCGTCTCGTATTTCTTTCAGGTATGAAGGCAACTCTATAACTTATTTTTAGCACTATATAAATTGGTTTACAGATAACTGTTTGAATATGGAGTTATTTTACACGACTGCGAATATATCGGACGTTACATGAAACAACCTTTTCATTTTTTATTTTGTGTGTACGGGTCTTAAAGTAACTTTTTATGTGAATTTTGAAAATCTAAAGCTATCTGATAGTTAGTAGACTGTTCTCGAAAGTTTATCGATTTACTCCATAAAATACGAGGCAAAGAAATTGACGACATTATATATGGTTAAATGTGTCTTTCATCAGCTATAACGTTACACTAATCAAAGTACGTTATCCTATTTCGAAAAATATGATCATGAGAAAACAATTTTCTACATCACAATACTTGCCTCACCGAAGTAAGCATTCGTTCTCATACATATTTTCTCGTATCATTAAAAACAACGGAGATATTTCACGTGAAATTCTTAGTTGACTCACCCTGTATACCTTCTAACATAATTACCATTACCAATATAATTATTGGAAATACATAACAATACCATAATCATTCGATTCAAAGTGAAACATTACGATTCTTATTGTTAAAAACAAACTATTAAATACATCGCTCCAAATGTAAATAAATTCTTCACGATACTCCGTTAATCACGTGCTAACCGTAATTCTCAAAATTTTCCACTCACCTTGCCTGTCAATTAACGAACAGTCCCTATACCCATTTGCCTTCCGGTGACAAACAGTTACCCAGACGTACCTCAAAATTATCCGAAATAACAGGGAGAGCAGAACCGACGACAGGAGCGTAGCATTGTGTTAGACAAGACTTTTACGCCATTAATTCCGCAGTTCATCACCTCCCCTTCCCGTAACTACGGATTCGATAATGACACGTGGATTATAGGTATCACTTACCGCCACGTTGTTCAGGGTGAATGAGAGATGAGCCGGCGGCTTCGAGGGTGGTAAGCTACAATTTGCCCTCAAAGTGTCTCCGGGGTCGTAGCGTTCACGTTCCGATACGATAATGGGCGTGCCCTCGGGTAAAGCTGAAACATAATAATTCCATGAATGTCTCTTATGGTGGGGCGAATCAGACGCTCGTTCCACCCTCAAACGACGCGTGGCAACGTAAACGATACAGAAGCGGTCCTGTTTTCCAGGGGGTTTGCCGTGCTCGTGTTATCGAAATAGTCGAACGACAATCGGACTAATGTCACGTGTCGACTTGAAGAGCGTTACTCGAGCGTCGGTACTCCCGAGAGTGTTACTGGGCATAGACTGTTCTCGATTGAACATTGCTTTCGAGTATAGGCATGATGTCTGGTGTCCACAGGAGAGTAACTCTCTCGTCTGCGTCTACTTCAGAGTGAACTCTTGGGAAGTATACTCTGGAGAGTAGACGCGTTATTTATTGAAAGACATTAGTTGTTGGAGATGCTCCGTCACGTCGGTGGGGGACATGTAGAATTTATTATAGAGTGTTAGTCTTATGTGAACACGCAGCATAAGGTTCGATGTCTGATTCTATGAGAGTTGTAATTTATAATTATATTCAGGGGATGCAGATGTTTTGGAGGTCGACATTTCGGAGAGTGTTCCATTTATAAATGGAAGATATATAGTAATGTTTCAGTATCACTATGGATATATATTGTTCTAACTACACAATTGTCCATTTTATCTTCGTTATTTTTTCGAACTGTACACTCCCATTTATAAATATTAGGACACCTGGCGAAAGTAATGCGAACACGATGAAAGAATACAAATTATTAAAGGTTTTGAATAAATATAAAATATTAAATCTGAGTAGGAAACATTTATGTGAATGTCAGGTGATAAAAATGGTGTAGGATATGTTTTCTGTATGAAACATTAGATTTCCTTCAAATGGAGCAGGTATCCTAGAAATTACGGACGGGAGTGTATGTTCAACATGGACAGCAAAATCGCGTGCAGAATAACAGGAGAATGATAAGTATCTCCTTCAGACCGTCAGAGCATGATATTCTTATTCCCCTTTACCATATTAACCACTTTTACCAAACACCTTCAATCATTTCCTGACAAATGTGTTATTAGTAGACTGCGGATGTTTATGTATATATAGCATCTTCTAATTTTGAAAATGCAATAAAATAAAAGTTCTAATACAATTTAATACTATTACGTGTTAGTATTACCGTAGTAAAATCACGTTAGTATTACCGTAGTAAAAAGTCTACTCTATTCGAATTTGTAGATATTAGTATCTGAAATTATGAACCTGCATAAATTTCCGCAGTCTAGTTATTAGTATTTTTGCTTTCCTATTTGTATTCACTAAAATGTAATTGATTTTGGTTCGTCAGATAAATTTCTATAAGCGTAGTTCACCGACAAACGTTTCCTCCGAAGTTCGATAAATCCAGCTATATTTAATCTCTATACATTTTTCAGGGTAAAATATAAGCCGGAGAGAATATTAAATCGATTGATCTGAAACAAACGAGTCCTTCCTTAGTTCAATCGCGCATGCATACGACTTTCCATTACGTATATTGGATTTTCGGCCGGTGTCGACAAATCTTTCGGGGCAATCGGAATAATGGTTCAAAGTGGGTCAAAGTATTGTTGCGAAATATTAACGACATGAGTCCTGCGCGCATTAGAAGAATAACATAAATGACATCGATCCAGTTGTCACTATAAATGTATCGAACCCCATGTAACGGAATCCCACAATTTAATACACAATTTTCCTAACCTGGTGTTTCCAAAAACCGATATTTTCTATGATTTACATATAGGGTAAGTCTGGGAGAGATGGGCCACGTTTTTAGAAATGTCCGAAAATCGAATATTTTAAAAGTAACACTAAATGTACTCATTGGTTAGCACGAGACTGCCGGCTGAGCTCTGATTGGTCGAGGTTTTTTGTTAATATCTCGTTTACAAAGTATCGAAGAACTTTTCCGCTAAGGAAAAAATTGTTTCAACTCACCTCAGGAATCGCCTCTTTCAAGGACTTACAATTACTTTGGGTCACCCTGTAGACACTTGTAATCAATTCAATAGTTCGAAGGTACCGATTGTTTCTCGTTTAATTCTTACCGAACGATTTCAAAGTTACAAGCTCTTCGCACCTTTCATTTGCTCTGCTCTGAAGTCTATAACACTCTGGCTGTCGCGCCCGTCCGCGTGGATTCTCTTTCGAATCGTACGCGTACAGTTGCAACTGTTGCCCGCCAAATTAATATTAGACAACTGTCTCAATATTTTCTAATTGGAAGTGAGAAAAACGAATATAATTGCTCGACTGTTGGAGCTGACGAATCGTGATGTGAATGTTGTCGAATGAATTCAGTCCGTGTGACTCTTATCGATACGAGTGTTTGCGAATGACTGTTCGAGTTCCGTGTGACGTCGCACTTTCTCCAAATTCGCTGAAGGCGTTACGAAAACTCGCTTCCTTATTGGATCGAGATCCCTGAAGGCGAAGGCAAATTTCTCGGTTTTTCCAAGTGACGTGGGGAGGTGGAAAACCTCTCCTTCAGGGCGAAGCGGACGTCAGAAAAATATCGCGCACGTGTTCACGGTGCGAGTTGACCGCGACGAATTTTCGAGTCTCTCAACGGTAGGGTTTATAGCTGTATTGTCTGCGAGTCAGCGCGCCCCGGTAAGGCCCGGCGCGGATGGGTCCCAGGTTACCGAACGCATGTGGTAGACTGTAGACCAAATGTTCGTTTCTTTTGTCTATTATTCTCTTTGTGTCAACGAAATTGAAATTGCTTGAACGAAGGAAATAAACTAATAAAAAATACCGGTAATGTCAGATTCTAAAATCGTCGTTTCGGGTCTACGACGGAACACTGGCCCTGGGGTCCAAATATATACCATGTAATTACTTTCTTAATTGGGCCTCGCAGAAATATAAAGAAGAAAACACGAATAACATAAATAATATTACATCCTTAACTAAAATCCTTTACCAAAAACTGACATAACAATTAAAGAAAAAAACCGTAAATGTTGTCGATCCAATACAGATACGTACTTCTGCCACACCCCTAGAAACCACAGCGCCGAAATTGTCAAGCATATTGGACTGTTCACCGGAGTAACACCTATCAAAATACACGAGGTAAACTTTGATGAAGCAATTTTGGAACAGCCTCTGCAGAAATTAAAGGGAGGATTATTCAACGAGAGAGAAGACACGACAGGTAAGACAGGCCTGGGGTGTCCAATATCTCCCGAAAATGTCATCGCAGTCACGATACCGTGGCAGGGGGAAACGAAAGAAGGAGGGAGCGAGAGAAACCGGTATATACCCGATTAATTCGGGTATATCAAATGGCATGGCATTAACACGGTTCATTTTCTGGTGCCGCTAATTGGCGTTTCGTGATTCACAACCAGCTACAACGCGCGCGCGCTGCTGGCCGTCGAGGCGGTAAAATTAGAACGGGCGTTATCACGTTTAATTTTACAATTGAACGGATCCACGACGTGCAAAGATCTCTGGGCTTGCTCACTCACCCTCTCTTTCTCTCAGTTATCTGACAACGGAACGGGTCGAGGGGGGAGGGGGTGTGGGCTGAATCCGAAACTGGAACCGATTACCGCGAAGCGAAGCGAGGGAAATAACCGTTTACCCTTCTCGCCCAGTCGGTGATAAACCGGTGATCCCCGAAACGATAGAACGACTAATCGAATTTCAGTTATGTTATCGTCTTCCGTCTATGAACGGTGCTTCAATGGTGATCCCGCTGCCACCGTGGTGTTTTGTATGTATACAGGGTGTCTCAGCTAAGTTGATCAGCTCGAATAATAACCACGGTAAACTTTATGAAAATTTTGAGGCTTCGAATTTAAATGGCATCAAGGAGCATGTCTTATATGATATGTGCTATCTTTTTTGGGTGGTGGCATTTCAAGGTCACCTTGATTTTTTTCAACGGAGTGACCTATTTATTGTACTATAGCTCGATAGAGTATCAAATTCTGAGTAAAATTGTGTTGACTTTCATATGTCCTAAACCCAATAGTTAATTAAATGTCTACAAAATAATTATTGTACCGAAGTTGAGGGGCATCAGTTCGAGCATCTATAGCTTCCAGATAGTAAGTACGTATTAAAAATTATTTTTAAAATATCTCGTTAACTATTAGGTTTAAGACGTATGAAAGTCAAAACATTTTTACTTACAATTTGATACTCTATCGGTCTATGCTACAGACAGTAGGTCATTCCGTTAAAAAAATCAAAGTGACCTTGAAATCTCTGAAATGCCTCTACCCACAAAAAAAGCACACACCTCATTAGATGTGCCCTTTAATGTCAATTTCCCCGCTTCAAAATTTTCATAAAGTTTATCGTTAAGTCATTATTCGAGCTGATCGAGTTAGTTGAGACACCCTGTATAAACTACGAGACAGGATCATACATTTTTGCGTTTGTGGGAGGGAATTTCGATGGAGGGGTCTCTCTCTCTCTCTCCTCTCGCATCGCTTGTTAACGCAGAACGTGGAAACACTTTTCAATGGCTCGCGTGAAAGATCGAACATTTCCATTTATTTGGGTCAAGTGGCGTATCAACAAACCTGGGAAATGAACGCGTTAGGTGTACGCATGCGTATCAATGCAATGATTGTGCAGTTGTATTTTAAATCATATCCAGAATATTGTTTGTCAGATACGTGTATAAGTAGACATAGGTCCGTGGACTTGAAACACGCTTGAAATTGTCCCATAAATCCGGACATTCGAAAAAATGAAGTACACAATGTGAAACATAAAAAATTGTAAAAATTTAGAACGTTGTCGCAAAATCAAATCTACGGTTTATACGCTATCGTATATACTAAAACACATTATTCGAAAATAATTTAAATTTGTAGAAACCTTCGAAAGAATTAGTCGTGGACGTTGGCAGTTTTTTTACCTTCCCTGACAATTAATTCTGAAATTTCATTTCTTTCGGCAGTTAATTTACTTTTTCTTATCAGTGTCTTCTAAGTACACTTTTATAAAAACGAATTATATTTCTTCCTATTTCAACGG